GTGGCCTTTAGAGTGAAGGGCCCCGTGCCTTTAGAGTGAAGGGCCCCAAGAGACAATAAATGATTACAACGAGATACAAAGTGGCCCCAAAAAGACAAAGAATGACCACGAGGAGAAACAAGTGCCTCAGAAGAGTACTTCAGTACAGTACCAGACCATCAATGCCATTCATAGAATAACAAAAAGTTATATAAATATTAAATTATTAAAATCAAATTGTGGAAATGGTTCATCCTCAGGGGAGCATGAAGGCCGACTGTAAATTCCAAGCCAAACCGAATGTTCCAATGTAAACGTTCACAGAATCAACAAAACTTAAAGGATTTTTCTCGTTTCATGAAAGTCTCAGCCGACATGAATCAAAGCGTTGATTCAAGCGTTCAGCTTGACCTTCAACATCAGCCACATTGACATAGTTTACTGTTTCTGCAGTTACTATGCAAACAAATGAATTCACTGTTTTGGACGAACAGGAAATGATGCAACGTGTGCACAGATGGATGTAAAGCAAAAGGCAACCTTGAAACACTGTACTGCTGATTAAACTGAGAAGTAGACGGTGAATGCAGCTCGACACTTCATTCTTGACCTTGTAAACAAACAGTTGCAGTTGATGCAACAATCTCCGCTCAAGCTCAACTTCTTGTTGTGCATTACCATCCACAGTTTGTTGTTTCTCCCTGCTGTGAGCAGCTCCTGGGTTTCCTCTGTGCGTTGCATTGTGGTCCATCAACAGCGCACTCAAACACAAGGGGATCTGCATATGGAAATATTTGACTCGATCGGATGTTGTGTTTCCAGTGTGAAGACACGGCTAAAATGTTGCATAGAATTAGTTTAGTTTATGACCAATAACACGAGACGTTCCAGTCTACGGTGAAGACAAATTCCATCAACCAACAAACAGAAACTATGAATTTCCATCCTGAGGAAGTTTACTTTGTGCGAGTGGTCGTATGGAGACATTCTGTCCGAAGAAATAAGAGGTAAGATGAAGACAACACAGGATCACGTTAGGGGAGGTCTATGTGGGAGAGGAGGTGTGATGCAAGAAGGGGAGAAAAGGGAGGAGGTTGGGTGGAGGGACCACAGTGAGAGTCCATGGTGGAGAGTAAAGTGTGAGCGAGAGCTCAGTGTTGCAGAATGGCCTGCAGCTCTGTTTGAGGCTGTTTGGGTATAGCAGCAAGAAAGCTTTTTAAATTTGTTATGAGCATCTGTATGCAGCCAGTGGGGGAGGCAAGGGGGGGGGGGTAAATATGCAGGGTGTGTTGGTGGGGTTGGATGGGTATGATACAACACTGATTTCTAGCACTAGTTTAGCCTTTCATTGTTCAATAATTGGGTGAGTCAGTGGGCTTAATTTGGGTAAAAAATATGAAAGACAGGGTCGTTTTCTAAATACTACATTCTTCGACACAAAACGACTACAAAGAGACCAAACTTACAACAGAGAGCTACAAAACAACTACAAAGAGACACAAAAAGACCACAAGGAGACACAAAATGACGACAGAGAGACACAAAACAACTACAAAGAGACAAAATTACTACAAAGAGACATCAAACGACTACAGAGTCAAAAATGACAACGAAGAGACACAAATGACTACAAAGAGACAGAATTACAACAAAGAAACACAAAACGACCACAAAGACACAAAATAACCTCAAAGAGACAGAAACAACTACAAAGTCCTAGAATTGTACTTCAGGTTTGCTTGCAACGAGTCATGTTGTTAAGAATGCAGCTTTGAAGAGAGGCAGTCTGTTATTAAATAACAGCAGTACATTCACACATCTAATGTATTCTGATTTGCATAATTGCTTTGAACCAACATGATTCATTTGTTGAACAATCGACAAATCACCGATTGACATTTAGTCACAGTTGAGGAATGAGGTTGGTTTCGTCTCATCATATAACAAAAAGTTTGCTGACAAATGTTTGGTTAAAACTTTCATTACCACATTAACGCGGCCCGGTTGGAGAGAGAAATCTAAGATGTAAATATCTCAAAGCCTGGACAAATAAAAGTAAATCTAGTTATGACTAGATACCACTAGAGGTAAATATGAAGGTTTTTGGTCTTTTGGCTGACCCAACCCCTGTTACACCTTCCATCAAACTTAAATGTTAAACCGGTCCAATGAGCCGGTAACTACTTTCCCCCTCAGGGGAACAAGACGTTCTTCCTGCTCCTCCTGTCCTCTTTTCTTTTTCGTTGTCTTCGAGCAACACATTCTCACTCCCAACAACAAATAACTCAACGCGCGCAAACTCCCAACGTCAAATAACTCAACGCACGCAAACTCCCAACGACAAATAACTCAACGCACGCAAACTCGCAACGACAAATAACTCAACGCACGCAAACTCCCAACGACAAATAACTCAACGCACGCAAACTCCCAACGACAAATAACTCAACGCACGCAAACTCGCAACGTCAAATAACTCAACGCACGCAAACTTGCAACGTCAAATAACTCAACGCACGCAAACTCACAATTTGATTAATTTTTCTGAATCCGGTCTGTTTGCGCAATTGTTTGGTTTCTGGTGGTGGAATTCAGGTTCCTAACTGAATGACTATTTAGTCTCTCATTTTGTTTGTTGTGGTTACTTGAAGTTCAAAAGCTGGAAGAAGTCGAGAAACGATCAGCGTGTTATTAGTTTCACTCAGCACTTGGCAAATGATCTTGTTTTGTTTAATCATATTGCAACTCTTTCCAAGATACAGTTTCCCATCAAACTACAGTGTTTACAAAACCACCTGCTGGAGCCAAGCACCCTCCCCCCGCCGGCCCTGCAACGTATAATTATCCATTAATAACCTGTTCAGACACATGAAAGATGCCGACAGCCGGAGGAATGTGCTGCTCCACTGCTGATATTTAGTCTGAACAGTGTGACATTTAAAGCGCACGCCCTGAATTTTTTTTAAAATTAATTATTTACTTATTCACAAGGGAGAGTGCAGATTAATCAAAACTTCAGTTTCAGCCTTAGTGTAAATGTGCCAGAGTTAGCTAGAGAGCTAATTTGAAAAAAGATGAAATTAGCTTGACAGCTTTAATGAGACAGCATATCTTGTGTGTTGTGTTGGTAAAAGTTGTTTTTTTGATGCGATTGGAGCAGTTTGTTCATGTTAAACTCGACACGACATGTTATCTAAAAATGTTCCTGGGAGTTATTCAATGTGTTTTTGAAGCAATAAATAAGCTGAAAGAGAATGTTTACTAAAACCCAGAAGTTTATTGAGCTCTTTAAGTTGAAAAAATACACACATTGATACAGATTTGTGATGACAACCAATACCCACCACCAAAAACAAATCTGTAATAATTCAAAATCTAATGGAAGAATCTCATTGGCTGTTTGTGGAGGGAACCAGTGATGATGAAAATACATCATCCCTGCAACGCTCTATTTGTATTTAGAAACACATACTGTGGTTTAAACTACGACATTGCTCTGTGTGCAGAGCTGCTCTGCTCGAGCTTTAACAATCATCAAAACATCACACGATTTATAACGAGACACAAAATAGTGACGTCTTTAAAGTTGAATAACACATTTTTCAGCTTTGAAAATACAAACAGGAAGCAGAATCCTAAACCGGTCTGTTTACATTAAAATAACTATAAAACCTAACCTTTAGCTAAACTAAACTATGATATCCTTACTACACAAAACAAGCATTTAAGTGATCAATTGCATTTTCAGATTATATAATCCCCAACATTATGAATATAGTAAAGAAACACAATTGTGTCTCGTTCACGAGTAAATAAAGTATATATACATATATATATATATATATATATATACACACATACACACACATCAGATCTAGAAATACTAGAGATGTTCCCATAATATTTTTTTACTTCCCAATACCGATATCAGAACCTGTGCATCAGCTGATACAGAGGACTGATTTTATACCAGTGTGTTAAAAATAAACAAACTAATCAGGTCATAATTCCCTCTCTAATATCTATTAATTCCAATTAATTTCAACACAGATCTTCTTGTTGTATAAAACAAAAGCTTGAGAATGTGCTAAGAGAGAAACCAAAGCTCCCTGCACATCACAGGCTAAACACTGTGTCAAATGAAACTGTATTCACTCCCCAACACCGTAAAATACTCACTAAAATACTCAATGTCATCTTGTACTAAAGTCCTATAAAATATCTGACATGTATATTTCATGGCTGCAAATCAAGTTGAACCCCAGCAGGAAGGGAAATGTCTTACAATCATTACCACATATCAATCAACCGGTTCTTCATACATACTTGGAATGACAATTTTGGAATATACTTTAAACAGTGGTGAACTTAAAACTGTAGCACTACTGTTGTAATATTACAATATAACCTGAAACTACGTTTTAGGTCACTTTCCCTTCCCACTGGATTTGTTTTGTATTTTGGGAACAGGCTTTTAAAAAAACCCTACTGGACCCTAAAGACTGGCACAAAAAAACCCATAGCGTAGCTAAATATATTCTCATAGGATTTTAACATCTTGATCTCCACGGACATACTTACTGAGGACAACTTATTACTCAAATGTAACAAACAATGGAAGTTTCACAGAAACCATCTAATGGGCATCTAAGGTTTCTGTGCAGGTTTCAAATAAATAGCTGATTGCAAGTCAGGTATTTATACCAAACACAAAACCTCAGATGCTTTACATAAACAGGTCAGAACACGAGCTCAGAGAGAAAAGGAGACTATAATAACTATGGTCTCTCTCCATTCGAATTCAAGCCTGAACCAACTCAGAACATTACTGTCGGGTCTCCAAGAAGCCCTGCCGGGCCGAAGTGCTGGGGGGGGGGTCAACCAGATCTAGGTTGCATACACTGTCTCCCATAAAGAAGAGAGGAAAAATGAGTTAGTCATCAAAAGTCTGTCAAAAATATGAGTGTCTCAAAAATATGAGTGGCAATACATATTACTCTAGAAAAAAAACCTATATCGGTGTAAATATCATCGGAAGAGCGAGTCGAGGTTTCTTTTAATTTAAAGGTAACAACGGCTGTTTTCAAAATGTTTTTCCTATGACACTCTAAAATATTTAGTAAACATGAACAACTCTCTCCCAAACCTAAATCTAGATTGCTAAAACTCCCAATTTGTTACAATGAATTGGGAAAGATGTTATAGTTGTGAGTGAAAGCTGCCAGGGGAATACACATTTTCTGTTCTGAGCTCGGTAGGGGGCGGCTGGCTAGTGCTAGCTTGTCCATCCCCAGAGCTGGCTAGTTAGCCAGCTAACTTGTCCAAGCATGGTGGAATTAGCGAGCTAGCTAGCTAACTAGCCAGCCGTTAAATGACTAAAATATCTTGCTTCATCCACACACTCTTGTCAGAGTGTAGGAAAGCACATTGCTATCACCAGAAGTGGCAATTGGCGTAATTAGCAAGCTAGCTAAGTAGCCAGCCGTCCACTGGTTAGCTTGCTGGTTTCGCCATGCCTTTAGTGCTGCATTGGTTGCAGAGGGTGAGCCAAACAGCGAGCCAGCTCTTCATCTCTTAACAGTTTAGCCTAGTTTAGCGTCACTGCGATGCAGCAGCCGCGACGGCTGAGTAGGTTAGTATAAGACTAAGCTAAACTATTAGCAACATTTTCTCTCCATCTCTGAAACGTTTCGCTGATATTGTAGCCGGCTAGAATCAGTTTTATCATCTCTAAATGTTAGCAATATCGATTCTGGCTCCCAGTAACACAACAAGATGAATCGGGATTGGCAACAGTCGTTTCTTTGTTTTGCCTCCAGCTACACCGTGAGCTAATCATGGCGTTAGCTGTAAAAGGGTCTATAACATATTGGAGATCTTAATTAAGCTGGTAAGTGCAATGGAAACTAGTTAATCCCAATCTTTTGGGGAATTCGGTTGTTTGAACCGGCGTTCAACGCTTGCAGACGCAGCTCTATGCTGTCAAACGGGGCTCAACCTTCAGTTTAAGCTGTCCTTTGTAAACTGCACTTCAGCAAATATTATCATAAAGATCAAAGTAAACTGTAGGTGAGGAGGACAGGAATTCAGTCATCACATTTCACAGGTATATTTTCACGGGATCGTGAAACTAGTTATGATCTCATGGCGTCCTATTGTTATCAAGACGTCTCACTCTTGAATCAAGTGTTCCAGTGGAGGAGATATTTCAGTCCCTAAGGCCATGCTGCAAGCTTCGCGATGACAGCAAGCTCATCTAACAATAAACCAATCAAGCCAAGTAACACGGCTCGGGCCTTTGAGTCTATTCACCTTCTTCATTATCTGAATTCCTCTGTAAGACACTTTAAAAGCATACCGGTACGCTTCAGTAGTCAACAATAGCATACTCCATAAGGGAACAGGGAGGTGCCAGGCTCATCGGTTTGCAAATAGACACTAGGTACATTTTTTGTTTACCAAGTTTTGAATTGACATTGACTCATTATTAGTTCATGCTCAGCATGTGCTGCCCCGCCAAAAAGCTGAACAACAAACACGACTGTACTATCCGTCTTCAGCACTGTTTAATCACTTCAACTGCCTCCCGGCTACAACCGTTATTGGCGAGCAGTCAGAAAACAGAGCTTCTGAGCTGCTGCTGAAGAGTCATAAACACAGGACGTTCGTGGCTGCTTAGTAAACTTCTGTAAAAAGCGAGTAGCTTTCCTAAAACGTTCACTATCATTTTCTCCAAATGGCATTTTTGAACGTAGCTCCTATGTTGGACGATCATCTCTCTTGAATAGCACTTGGTTCCCATTTCATTAAAGTAATAATAAATAATGTGACAGTTGTGATTTGGGGCTTTTTTTTTGCACGTAAAATGACAAAATGAAATCCTATCTGTTACAGAGTGTCATACCATGGTATGAAGGTAGCTGCCCATCTGCAGCAGACACTCCAGGGTCTCCATTATCTGCTCTTGGCGGAGCGTGTAGAGTCTGGTCTGATTTGGGAATTTACTGCTTTCCAGCTTACGTACGGTGGCTTTCAGAGCCAAAGAAGCACACTGGAGGACACAAATTCCTGAGAACACACACAAACATTTGAAAGATTAGACTTCCCTGGAGCAAAGCAATGTCCTGCTGTGGTTGTATTTTAGACACCTAAAAAAAAAAGAACCAATATCGCTATATTCGGGATATTTTCAGCCCTTTCTGATGGGGAACTGAAGCTTTTAGCCACGCTCTCTTCAAAAACCACCAGACTGCATTGAAAAAAGCTGCAATTTTACCTCAGAAGATGGAAGTTGCAGGTCTACCACTGACTCCATCGGTTTGTTTGTGTTATTGTGTGACTGGTGAATCTGAACAAACCCTTTGAAACACAAAAGTCGCACAACAACACAAACTAACTAACCGATGGAAGCAGCAGGAGACCAGCAGCTCCCTTCTTCTATGAGGTAAAATGACTATGGAGAAGTACCTCATACTGAACTAACCCTTTCACGTCTAACCACACCTACACTGTAAACAATCTAGACATATTCTAGAGGTAGTCTGTCAGTGCAGAGTTTCAATTCTTTCACTGCACACAGATGCTGGATGTCTGATACTGTTAACTTAATGTCGTGATCATTTTGCTACTAATACTGATTATGGCAAACATGCTTTATTGTCAGTTTGTGACAATAAAGTGATCGTACTGTAATTATCTTTAGTAGGAATGATTTGGTGATTTTCTATGCAGATGACAGCCCTCTCTTCTGCGTAGTATACCTTAAACCAAACTCGGATCTAAAGAGGACCGAGCTTTTGCTAATATGGCCTCTAAACGTTGGAACACCTTAACATATTTTGTTAGAACAGCTGACTTGTTAATATTTTCAAATCTCATTTTGAAACACATTTTTATAGCTTGGCGTTATTGCACATATTTTGTCTATAACTTGTATTTCAGCCTTTTTTCTATTGTAATATTTTAAATGTGTTTTCATTTTTATTATTAATTACCATCTTATGTATCTCAACGTGTGACCACTTATCCTCCTTTCTCTACTTGTTCAAGTCACTTTTATAAATGTAATCACCAATGTTCCTTAGTACCTCAAGGATTTGAAAGGTTGTAATACTTACCAGAGTTATCAGTGGCTTCAACGTCAATATACACACCCTCCATCATCTTGTTTTTCAGAACCTAAAAGAGAAAACACACACACACACACACACACACACACACACACACACACACACACACACACACACACACACACACACACACACACACACACACACACACACACACAGGTTAACGATAGAAGTTCTCACACACAAGTATTAACAAATGTTCCAAAATGATTTTCTCTCATTTACTTTAAAAACATTTCTCTCAATAACACCTGGTGTTGGTATTAGAGTACAGAGACGCTCCTCCACAGAAACAGATGTGCAACGTTACAACACAGCCGTCCAAAGGTGAACTCAGTAAGAGGCAGCTGGAACACAGTGTGCTGTCGGGGTCTACTTAACATTTACAGAGTCAAATCTGATTGGCAAGTCTTGACTGATCGTTGAATTATGTTTTTGTTGTTTTTCACATTGATTTCTAACACCAGTGTCACGATACGACATTGCTGAAAATACAACTTGCTGTTCCACCTGGATAGTATAATACGTACATCACATATCGATAACTCAGCGGACGGAGTTGCACCAAAACTACTTCAAAAGGTATTTGTGTTGCACATAGTCACTCAGCAGAGAACACACTGAACTGAGACGCACAAAGAAAGTGCATATTGTATTCTCATTGTGTCACTGGACACCTTTTTACTAAAATGCACTTGCGGCGTTTTGACCCGTTTGTAAATGCTGGGCACTACACAGCTACGTCCCTCCTGTGTCGGCAGGAGGCGGCGCTCTACAGCGTATGAACGCTTGCTTGTGAGACGCCATGTTGTGATGTTCATGTGACAGCACACTGGCCTGAGCTTCGCTTAGCGTTTGAAGGACATTTTCAAACTGTTAAAAACAGGATTTTACATTTAGTCGTGGACATATTGGTACACCATCGTTCGATAGTAAGCTATATTGATATTTTTGCACAGCCCTAGACTCAAAGAAGTCTGTGTTCTCTGAGCTGCTGTTCGGTGCATACGAACAAACAACAGTCAGAGGCTTCGCGGTGGGAAAAGACTTTAATACCCGTATTCTTTGACTTTGAAACAGAAGACTTGTGTTTTTTGTTCTTCAGCCTTTCTGAGGCCGTCGCCAACCTGCTGCTCCGATGGTCCTGCTAATTTAGATTCTGCAACTTGGTCTACATGATGATTTTTCACGCAAGCTAAGACGGATCTAAAGCACGAGTTAGTTTTATTTACAGTAATATTAATAAGCTTATATTTATACCAAAATAGTAATATAAATAAATAGTATATCTCATGATTTATTGGGAGAAGCCAAACAACTCTCTGTAAAGTCAGACATTCAACAGCTCAATGTAGCTCCACTGGAATGTTTCATAATCACAGGAACTAGAAGGCTGCTTTGATGTAAACAAGAGCAACAATGTTTTTGTGGTTTGTAGAGGTTGCACGCAATTTCATTAAGTTACACCCATGCTTTGGAAACATGTTGAATTCAAGGTAAACAAAGGCTGTAGGCAGACAACTTAATTAATTATTTGTTTAGTATATAAAATGTAAATGTCAATGGTTTCCAGGCCCCGAAGTCACGTCTTCAAAACGCTTGTTTTGACCAAAATCCAAAAGATATTCAGCAAAATGAGGAAATGCTCATACTTGAAAAGCTGGAATCAGAAAATGTTTGTCTGAAATGATTAATCGATTATCTAAATAGATGCTTATTAAGCCCCTGTAGCTCTAGTCTACAAAGAGGGAGACGGCACAGAACACGGCAGGTTCTTGAATACACATGGTCCAAGAAGGTGAGAACCTCTTAACACCACAATGCTTCATGGCCCGTACCCCCGTAAGAAACAACAAGGAAACACAACACATTTGTCTTGTCAACATCCGCAGTTAACATTTTAACAGTGCTTTAAAAGTGAACACCTCAAACAGAACGTAACTGTGTGGAGAAACACTGTGAAGCACAATGACCCAAGGTTACCCAAGATGCTCAGCTTCACAACGTTAATGACACCTTGTCCACAGTTAGTGTGTCTTACTAAACCGGCTACGTTGGTATTCGTAACTGCTTTTCATCTGAGCAGTTTAATCGTTAATAATCACCAACATGGATGAGAGCCCACACACATGAATAACCTGTTGGTCTGGCTCAATGGAAGCCACAATGTGTAGCAACCAACGAATTCTGACAAATGCGGTCATTAAAAGTAAGTCTGGTCTGATATGCGAGTAGGGTTGTCACGATACCAAAATTATGACTTTGATACGATACCTGCCATAAGTATCACAATACCCGATACTTACGATACAATACCACAAATACGATACTGGTATATTTATCTATAATAGTAATAAATAAAACATCTGTATGGTTCCCTTTTTTACCAGCTTGTTCCTGCCCAGCTTTTTGAACACTTAACAAATGGCATTAATATTAGTATTAGTATTAGCCTACAGCAAGATATTAATGAAAACTACATGGTGCCATGATTGCTGCTGACTCTGCTGGCATCTGTCTGACTGTCTGTGGGAGTGGGTGGATAAACAATGCTTCATTTACTTGCATAGTGAGTTTAATATTTTCACTTCATATTTTATCTTAATTCATGGAATAATTATTTTTCCTTGACTAAAAATAATTAGCTCAAGATCCACCCTCAGGCTCCACCAGCATGGAGCCATTCTGCATCAATTGTGTTTCATTTAGTACACTTGTGTGAGCATTGTGACCTCATCATCATATAGGCTTGTCCTCAAACTAGGCTACGGCTACTCCTGTTAGCTGTCTATGGGTGAGCTTGGGGGTGTTCATGTTTATAGTCACATTTGCTTACCTGTCGTTCTTTGAACTCTTTGAATAGTTGGGTGTGTCTGTCGTTAAGGTGCTTTGCCATGTTAGACGTGTTGCCTCCCTGTCTGTGTGGCTTTGAAACACTTTTTGCAGACGGGTCTCTGTATGTCAGTGGGCTTTCCTTCACTGTCTGCAATATAGCCAAAGCACTTCCAGATGATACTTCTGGCATCTTGTTTTTCAACAAGCTGAGGACGGTCGGCAAAAGCTCCTGCCATGTCTCCCCAGCAATCACTCGCTGTGTGAGCGCTGGGCAGCCCCGCCCCCTCGCAGTCAATGCCTGCAGGCAGCATGACAGGGAGCGGAGCAGCGAGTGCGCTCTGATCACGCGCTATTTTAATAAAGTATCGATACTAAAAATATGGAAAATCGTATCGTTTTTAAGGTACAGGTACCGCGGTACCTTTTTAGTATCGATACACCGTGCAACCCTATATGCGAGTAATGCGTGTGAACTGATAAGGAAAGGAGAGAACAGTAGATGTTTGGACTAATTGTTCTCAAATATCAGACAGAAGGGGACTACAAGATGAACTGTAGAGCCAACGTTACATTAACAATTGAACTCGTCGGCGCAGTATTGTGACTGAAGAGGCCATTAACATTCTGCTCTCCGCTTCAAATCCTGGAACACAACGATGAGGTGTCTGAACTACTACCCGACTAACAGCAGAGACCCCACCCCCGACTCAGTCTAATCATTGGAGACGAACAAAGAGAGAACAGCTCTAACCTCCAGGACTCGGATGTAGCCTCTCTCAGCACTGAGGTGGAGGCAGGTCTTCCCCGAGGTGTTCGTCTCGTTGACGTTGGCCCCCAAAAGGATCAGGTCCGCCACCATCAGGTGGTGGTTGTGCTTTGCTGCATGGAGGAGGGCGGTCTGCAAACAGAAGTTCCACCGGTGACGTAACGTGCAAACTGCCTTACAAAACGCCGTCTATACGCTATACTGCTAGCTCACCTAGCACCACTGAGCTAGCTCACTGTAGCTAGCTAACAGCTCAGCAATAAATAAAAAAGACAGAACTAGCCTACGATGTCATGCGATATTGAGAAGACATGCTGGATATGTAAAATCGATTTGTTTATCGAGGGGGTCAAAGTTCATTTACCATTTAAAAAGAAGCTGTGCCAGAGTCTCAAATCATGTGCCCTCCATCCATCACTGTTACCCTGACCCATTAGCTGAAGTGAGCTACCAGAGTGGCAATGTGTTTGTACTGTACCATTCCATCAGCATCTTTGAGGTCCAGGCTGTTGAGTGCGGCCATCCTTATGGCGATGGCGAAGCCCAGCGCTCTCTTTCCAATACACGCCACCTTATGGAGCGCTCTGGAGGGACAAGAACAATCAGACAGATTTAGACTTCACACTAAAAGGTAGTGCTGGGCGACCAGAAATGTGTATCACGGTAATTTTTAAGATTCTGGAGGTATCACGGTATTGGTTTTTTTCCTTGACTGTGTATAGTGGCTTACTCTACTGTCAGGAGTACGTAGAATATATACACATTTTAATGTCATCATGTATAAAGGCTTTGCTTACTATAGGCTGTGCTCGTTTGTTCCTATAATGTTGGGATAGCAGTTTGGCTGAAGTATTGTCGCCCCGGTAAGACATACCTTGAATCCAGTGTTCTAATCATTGCTCTGAGCCCGTCTTTCTCGACTGTCTGTAGCGGGACCATGTCCTTGCATAGATCGTAATGTCGCTCCGCCGCTTGCTTTTCTTGTCATAAGCAGTGCCTCGAGCAAATGCATCTTCAAGCGATGTCTGACCCTTTGGCTTCACTGTTTCACTAGCGCTAACGTTACTGGTTGATAGGTAGGTAGGTAGAGAT